ATTGGCATGGTCTGTAGTTACATGACCGTAAAATTCTGAAAATTTTAACATGCCGCATAACTAGTGTACGAACCTGGCCGTTTAACCTTCTTTAACCTTCGACAGTAGACGCACTGGAGGCAGTCAGGTCCGACATCGACCAATGGGTTGGAAGAAAATGGGGTTCCAATAGGTGACCAATTACCGGTCTAAGGATCTCCTTGGTGGAAGCTGGTGGAAATTTGATATCGACGAGGCACTCACTCTCTTATCGCCGTTATCACTTCGGTTGATCGGGTTGATCGGATGCAGGTAGTTATTGATCATATCATATGCATCTTTGGCCGAGGTATATCTGCTGTAGTTCAGGGATGTACCGTATGCGTGATAATGTTTGCACCATCGTACAAATCACGAACAACATGTGAAAAGGGCATACAAGCTTTTAGTAAACAAACGTTCCTATGCCCTTTTCTCGCCACCCATATGACATCAACGCAAACCATTAACATTAGCGGGTAGGGGAAGCTTTACCATTCCCGAGATGTTGTTGGTTTGCGTGAGGGACCCTCGGTTGGCGAGAAAAGGGCATACAAAGGTTTGTTTACAAAAAGCTTGTATGCCCTTTTCACATGTGGCTCTTGAAATAAGGTTCCCATTTCACCTGTGCATACAATGCCTTGGTTTTGTTTGCATGCACGTAACCTATAGCTCATACCGTAGTAGGCTGTGCATAAAAGAAAATGATTTACTTAGTTTGACAGTTGCACCATGACGAAGTGGCAGCGTATTCGTGATTTTTCCCACGCGCAAATGTCGCAAAAAGACATTTCAATCGCTGTGGGAGTGTCCCGGTGGACCGTTTAAAGGGTTTTAGACCGAGAAAAGAAAGGACAACTATCCGCAAAGGTGGCCACAGGTCGTCCGAGGTCAGCTCGGGTTCCGAGGGTTATCGCTGCTATCAAAAGGAAGATTCGGGTGAATCCAGTGCGTTCAATAAAGAAAATGGCAAAGAAACACGGGATCAGTGACTTTACGGCACGGAAGATCGTAAAGGAAGATTGCGGGGCGAAGTCGAGGGCACGGAAAAATACTCATATGATTACCAACCGCATTCGGGAGCTACGAGTCGAACGATGCAAGGAAATCTTGAACTTCCTTAAGCGAAAAAATCCGGTAATCCTGTTCACCGACGAGAGCATGTTTACCGTCCATCCCGTATCAAATTCCAAAACCGACCGGTATATTAGTTCTCTTCCGGTAGAAGACGTGGCCGACGAGCACAAGAACGTGTATCTGACCAAGCATCCTGCTAGCGTTATGGTGTTTGGATTGGTGGCTTCCGATGGCAAAAAATGGACCCGGTGTTCATTCCAGAAGGCGATAAGGTCAACACGGAGGTCTACATCGGGATTTTAAGTAAGTATGTATGTTCTTTCGTGGATCAAAGAACAGTACGGTCCGAAGCCAAATGTTGTATTTCAACGGTTCGGTCCGAAGCCAAATGTTGTATTTCAAGAAGATGGGGCTCCGTGCCACACCTCGAACCGCACTCAGAAGTGGTTGCAGGAACATCTTCCGTTCTGGGCGAAGGATATGTGGCCGCCATCCAGCCCCGATTTTAATCCGCTGGATTACTCAATATGGCCTGTCATGAAGGCCAAAGCCTGTTCTAAACGCCACCCGAGTAGAGCAAGCCTCAGACAAACATTGACCCGTACCTGGAGACAAATGGATGCAGACTAAATTATTAGAACCTGCCGTGCATTCCGGAAGCTTGTGGAAGCCGTAATTGCATCAAGTGGAAACTCGATCGATGATTAACATAGTTTAAAACTCTGAGAAACATAAAATAACTCTAAAACGCAACTTTCGAGATTTTTTTTAAATTTTGACATTGCTCAATGGTGCAAACATTATCACGCAAACGATAGTCTAGTGTAGGCAAGGCTTTTTTAGCACTAACAACTAGTTTCTACTGAAACTAGAAAAAGGCCGGAACCTGTTCTAAGGACATTGGGTGGCCATTGTCATTATTCTCAATGTCTATGTCAATGTCTATAATGAATTGTCCATGACTTTATGAAAATTTTGATGCGCCTTACGTCTGGTTTTGTTGAAATCAAAGCTCGGCTACTTCTACCGGGGCTTCCGAAACCTGTTCCAGGGACATAGGGTGGCCATTGTCACTCTTGTCATTTGGTATAGTCTCTAATAACATGTCCACCAGATTTTGAAAATTTTTATATCTCGCATGGCTAGATTTTGTTGAAATTAGATGATGGCTTCCGGAAGCTGCTCCACGGACATTGGGTGGCCATTATCACTCTAGTCAATTAGCATGGTCACCATGGCATGGTGTCTAATGGCATGATCATCAATTTCTGAAAATTTTGATGAACTGCACGTCTGGTTCTTTGGAAATCAAAGATTGGCCACTTCCTCCGAGGTTTCCGGAACCTGGTCCAGGGACTTTGGGTGATCCATTCTGGAATTCATGTACGCCATCAATAACTTTTCCGCGTTTCGTATTAGGAGCTGTTCATTAACTACGACGATAGTTTTTTGGGGCGACGCATAGACAATTGTCGATATTTTTTTATTTGTATGGACCGTGGATGATTGCCAACCCTCCCTCTAAACTGTCTACGTAGTTAATGAACAGCCCCTTGGTTGAACGGCACCCAAGTCTCCTTCCACCCCATCGCTGGTTGTCAAGGTGATCACGACAGCCGGCGCCGGTGGTGTAGTGGTAAGCGTGACTGCTTTCTAACACCTCAATGAGTCTGGGTTCAATCCCAGCCGAGGTCGGTGGGATTTTTCTGAGGCATAAAAATCTCGGGTCACGTCTTCCTTCGGAAGGGAAGTAAAGCCGTTGGTCCCGGCCCATATATGTTGTTAATGGGTGCGATATCCTACGCAGGTGTGGAAGCTGCCTTCCTGCACATTCGATTGCCGTCAATGGATGGCAATCGATGTCCGTCGGTGATTGGCACTAGATTGCGGAACAGAGACCGACGTTAAATAAAGGAAAAAAAAAAATAAAGGTGATCACGCCGTGATCCACCTTTAACCGCTGACTTGCTGACCCAGTGTCTCGCCGTCCGAAGCGGAAATGAGCAGAGGCACGCCAGCAGTGCTGTTTTACATCTTTTCAGGTTCAAGTGTGCCAACGGAGGCAACCCTGGGGTATAGTTTAGCATCCATACCTCTCACGCCAAAGTCACGAGTTAAAATCTCACTCCCGGACAAGCCACAAATGAACCAAAAGCGTTAAAGTGGCTATAAAAAAATGAAGTGCAACCAAATGGTACTCGATTATGACGACTGGGTTTAGGAAAAACGTTTATTTCGTGAAAACAGTGATAAAATTATCATTTGTAAATTTTACAGAAGTTTTCTTATGAAAAATTTGAAAATTATTTATTTCAGCAGATTTGTAATGCAATATCCTATCGATTGGTGTATTTGGATTTAAATTTCATCTATAAATGACAAAGTTACAAGTGTTCAAAACCTAACACTATTTCACCACACATATTTTTCGATTTGCACCAGTCCACAAAGACGTAGTTTTACGTCAAAAACATCAAGCTACACACTTAGATTATTCTACAGAAGTCAGTATTTTTTACTGGGTTTTTGCATTGCTGAAAAAGTCGGTAAAAATTCAAAAGATCGTTATTCTTAAGGAATCAATGGCATCGTAAAATTTTATTTTCTATCATTAAATGGGGTTAACGGAACTAAGTATGTACAGGTTCGGAATATTTTTTTTTTCATTTTCTAATTTTCCACAGATATTTAAACTTTTAAGGTCCAAGCGCAATGCGGAAGCGGAACGGCAGCGGCAGCGGAAAAGCCCGATCTGAGTAAGCCTACTTGTCGGATTGAAAACTAGTTAGAATCAAATCGATTTCGATTAGGCATCTTGATGCCATTTGTGACAACTGTCAAACTTTCCGTTTCCGTTCCGCTTCCGCCCACATTACGCTTGGGCCTTTACTGAACAGTTTCACAATTCAAAAACCCAGTAAAACCTTACTGACTGGATTAGTGTGTAGTCGTATGACATAACTCGTACAAATCCTCAGTCTGAACATAGCATAAATCACAAAATCAAATACCAGATTTAAAATATACAGCATGATCTTTACTGTGTACGTTGACAATTTTTTTGGATACCCTCCTAGTGGGTGCAAAAACGGTTCAATCCTTTTGTCGACATGATAAAAAATAATAATAAATTAATGCCCGGCAGTAGGTACGTGTTAATAGCCGCGCCCGCCGCCTTCCGTCAGCTTAACTTAGGAAGCTCTATCCCCGAAACCGGCACGTAATGAGTTTCCCATATCATACAGCATGTTTGTTCCGTCAACATGTGCAAAAATATTTGCGTAGCCTACTGCGCGGGGTGTCATGTTTCGCTTTGATGATGCACAAATGTATGCTATTAGACGCCTCCAGTGCCATAGCCTAAGGCAAAGTAGGCGACAATAAATAGAATAATCATGAATCATGAAAATTGTCAATACGAAGATACCTACGGCGTATTGTTTATTTACGCAAAAAAAAGAACCATATTTGCGCTTTTGATTTTGATGAACCATGAAGCAAATCAAACAACGGCACCGCGCGATGTACTATTCTTGTCGACATTGACATTCATATTGACACTCAAAATTGCGAGATTGTATTCGGCGTGATTGCTAACACATTGCACATGCGACCGGGTGGTGTAGAACTAGACACCCAAAGGTTTTTATCGAATTTGTTGCCTCGAGCGATACCTTCCGAAATATTCAATAAATTGAGCCTAAATCACCCAAATGGGCCAAGCCAGAAGCAGTGGGTTCGATTCCAGGTTCGGTCTCGACTTCTCTTATTGCACTTGCCATACTAATTCATGCATTGGTTGGCGCAGAAAGCTTTCAATCATAATAATAACTATAGAATAACTGAGAGTAGACGTAAGCTCGGAACTCGCTACGTTTACATTCAAGCGACAAGCATGTACTCACTTTGAGAAGTTTGCCATCCCCCGCAGCTTGACGGGTCCATACTGGAAGACACGTTCGGCCGTTTCCGCAAAGCCGAGCACCGGTATCCGCGTCTTTTTGCACACTTGATGTGAGGTTTTGACCTGTGGAAGAAGACAAGCAGCATGCATACGATCATATATTTAGTAATAGCAGAAGGGATGGGCGTAATTTACGGCCGCAAAAGTTTATGTGAATCTGATGAAGGACACAGCGATGAAGTTCAACAACTCGCTCTGCGATGATCCAAGTCCGGAAGTATCCGGGCGGGATACATATAGTGTCGTACGATTAAAACAATCAGCCGTGGTGAGCATCGTCGTCGTCGTCGTCGTCATCGTCTTTGGTGTGCACCTGATGTGATTGATATGCTAATGAGGGATGAGTAGAGCCCGAGGAGACCCCGTTATGGGGAAGGCGTCTGTGCTGTGCTAAAGTGTCGCATTCGAAAAGCGAAATTGAACGTGACGATAGCGTTATGTTTGATTCGCCGGGCATTTGCGGTGAATTTATGGCCGATGGACTCCGGTAAATCATAATCCTATCAGATTGATCGTGTGCGTTTTCCGGAATCATTTGTCTTGTGATTGTAAGGTATAGATTGGTTTATTGCATAAGTATGCATAATTTCATGAAATAACCAAATAACCCATGGTGCATTTTAAACTGTAGTTCTAATACCGTAGTATTGATGATTTGTATATTTACGGGCACGTATGGCCTTTTCACGCTTCTTGGTCTGTCACTCAATGAGTAAGACTCGGAATTTACCATTGGAACGTACGTGAAACGTAAAATTCACTGCTTTATTTCCCGGCAAATGATACAGCGTCAAGGTCTACGTCATAAAATAGTCACTAGCGTGCACATGAATCTTGCTAAGGAGGGGCAATTTTTTTCTATGGTGCATTTAATCTGGTGGTGGTCCCTCTTCTTCAATGCTTTCACACAGCCAATGGAAATTGGCAATTTAATCCCATCGACAATGTCGATGATGAACCGTCCCAAAGTACCGCCAGTGACAGAAAATGATGCCGAACTATCAACATGTTTTAAATATGATATAAAGGACAAACCCGAATTTATTGCAACGCACATAAACAGCTGTATCTTTTTAACCACGGTAACAAATGACTTGAAATTTTCAGAGAAGATTCTTAGACGATTTTTTAGTATGACAACAATAGACCAAGGTTAATGGCGCCGGTGGTGTAGTGGTAAGCGTGATTACCTCTCACCCCAGGGCCTGGGTTCAAACCCAGTCGGCGCCACCGGGATGTTCTGAGGCATAACATCTCTGATCACGCCTTCCTTCGGATGGGAAGTAAAGCCGTTGGTCCCCGGTTCATGAGTTGATGGGTCGATACGTAGGGTCCAGGCGTGGGAGCTGCCTTCCTGGCGTCGGTAGCATTGGTGCTCAGCACGGAAAACAAGATCGACGGAAAACAAACCAAGGAAAAAAATAGACCAAGGTTCAATTGTAGTTTCAATTAGGGAATCCAAACTGTCTTTAAACTTTGTGTAGTTGCGAAAAAGCCCATCCTCAGAATTCCTTTTCGAAATTTTTACAACTCTATGAGCTCTTTAGAAATTCTTCTCAGAAGTCCTCTGGAATTATCTTTAGAACTCTTCTTGACTTTTACTCAGAACACCTTGGAACTGAAATTCCCTTAGAGTTTCTGAAGAATTTCCTCAAAAAAAATTTTCCCGGAATGATCCAGAATTTATCGGTACTCCCTTGAAATTTTCCTCAAAATCCCTTTGGAATTTCACTCAAAATTCAATTTTCTCTGTATTCTTTTCGAAATTATCTTGGAACTATCTGCAGGATTCACTAGAAACTATACGCAGAATTTTCTTGGAATACTCCCCAGAAATCTTTTGGAACTGTCCTCACAATTCAATATCCTTGAGGTTTCTCTTGAAATTTTTAGAACTCTCCTAAGAGCTCTGTTGAAATTCTTCTCAGAAGTCCATTGGAATTATATTTAGAACTCTTTATGATTTTTTTTCTCAGAACACCTTGGAACTGAATGAGCTAGAAATTATCTTCGGAATTCGCTTGACATTTTGCTTAAAATCCCGTTGGAATTTCACTCAAAATTTGATTTTCTCGGTATTCTTTTTGAAATTATCTTGGAACTATCTGCAAGATGCACTAGAAATTATCCGCAGAATTTTATTTGAATTCTCTACAGAAATATTTTGGATCTGGCATAAGAATTGAATATCCTTGAGGCAGAAGAATTTCTTCTGCATTCTCCAGAAATTGTTCCCAGAATGAGCTTGAAATTATCCTTGGAATTCCCTAGGAATTTTTCTCAACAACCATTTGGAATTTCATTCATAATTTGATTCGCTCGGTATTCTTTTCGAAATTATCTTAGAACTATCTGCAGGATTCACTAGAAATTATTCGCAGAATTTTCATGGAATCATCCCCAGAAATCTTTTCTTTTGGAACTGTTCTCAGAATTCAATACCCTTGAGGTTCTCCTCGGAAGTCAAGTTTAAGTTGTCCGTCCGATCACGAAAACGTTTTTTTTTTCTATCAGAAATGTTCAATAAAGCTTGCCCCTCCATGCAGCAGATTGTTGCAAATCTTACATCAGAAATTTTCAATACAAACTTTCCCTCAGAAAATTTTACACCAGAAAATTTAAATTGATCAGAACGATGCAAATTTTCCACCGTTAATGTTCAATAAAAATTGCTTCTCCAATCTTCTGATTGGTGCAGATCTTTTTCGATTTTCCACTACAAATTTTCAATATAGCTTCCCGCATAAACGCGAACCATAAATTGACCTTACCTAAAATGGTTAAAAATTGTTTATAATCCCTGCTAAACTTTAACTGAAATGGTTATGGAACTTTACATGAACGTTTAATGATAAAGTTTCAACCTTATGTATTATGGTTTTTTGGAACTGGACCTTACAAATAATGGGTTGTTAAGAACCATTACCGTTCCAAATTCTTGTTTTCTCCATACATTTTCGGAAAGAGAACTATATTAGAACCTTTTAACTTATGGTTTGAGAACTTTAATGGTAATGGTTATGGTAGTCAGTAAGGTCCACCAATGGTTTTGTAACATCGATCAACTTTATGTGGAATATATCGCGAATTGGTTGCCTGTAATTTACTGATTACCAATTCACGATATATTCCACGTAAAGTTGAGCGATAATACAAAACCATTAATGGACCTTACTGACTACCATAACCATTACCATTAATGTTCTCAAATCATAAGTAAAAACGTTCTTATATAGTTCTCTTTCTGAAAATGTATGGAGAAAACAAGAATATGGAATGGTAATGGTTCTTAACAACCCATTATTTGTAAGGTCCAGTTCCAAAAAACCATAATACATAAGGTTGAAACTTTATCATTAAACGTTCATGTTAAGTTCCATAACCATTTCAGTTAAAGTTTAGCAGGGATTATAAACAATTTTTAACCATTTTAGGTAAAGTCAATTTATGGTTCGCGTTTATGCGGGTTGCTTCTCCTATCATCAGAATAGTATAGGTTTTCCACCAAATAAAACTTGTCCCTATTTTCAGATTTTTCATCATAAAATTTCAGTAAAGCAGCTTCCCTAAAATCATCAGAATGATGCAAATTTTACACCAGAAATTATTATTAAAGTTTGTTTCTCTATTCAGCAGAAGGATGCAAACTTAAGACCAAGAATTTTCTAAAAAGCTTGCCCAGATTTTCCACCAGAAATTTTTCGTTCATTTCATTTATCAGAGCGATGCAAATTTTGCACCAGAAATTTTCAATAAAGCATGCTCCTCCATTCACCACAACGGTGCACCAAAAATTTTCAGGGCAGTTTGTTTCACCATGCACCTTTGTGGTGCAATTTGCAGACTTTGCCTCTTCATGCACCAGAATGCTGCAAATTGTCCACCATGAAGATTCAATGAAGCTTACATTCATCAGAACGATGCAAATTATGCACCAGAAAAGTGAATAAACTTTAGTTCTACATTCACCACAGTATAGCGTGGGGTGGGGGTGATTCAATTTTTTCCACCAGATTTTTGATTAGTCCCTCCATGCACCTTGATGATATTTTTACACCAGAAATATTCAATTCAATCATTTTTTATTCAATTTACCACCCAGAAGGTGAATTTTTTCAACCTTAAATTTACCCTCTTCTTTTATCCCTCCATGAATCACCTTGAAAAAAAAAAAAAAATTACACCAGAAATGTTTGGTATGTACCACTATGGTGTAATTTTTTGACCAAAAAATTGCATTGATGTTTTGCCCTTCATGCACCTTTGTGGTGCAATTTTCAGGCACCTTCTCAAAGGAATTGACGCAATTAAAGGTTTTCAGTGCCCTTATTTTATTAAAATGAAGTTATTGCGCATTTTACACCAAATTGGACTAACAAGCGCGTTTTCACTTATTAAAAAGTGTGATAAAATTGCAAGTATACGTCTAATAGTCTTGGCGTCTTGAGTGCACTTATTCCTTATGATGCAAGCAATAAGTGCTCCCAAGACATCAAAACGATTTGACGGAAATGTGCCCTTCTATCACACTTTTTGCATTTTTGGGACAGTCCAATTTCAGATGCAATCAGCAGTATTTTACCTTCAAATCAAGTTATTTTAAAAATAGTTGCTACGTAGGTTTAATTCAACCCGGGGGCAACTTGACAACTCCAGTATATTGCCAGTATACCCAGACAATTTGGTGCTGTAGAACTCCCAATACCTTTAGAATGGGACAAATAAGGAAATGATCTACAGTAAATAAAATACAAGTTTAAAATTCAGTTTGTGAAACCCATTAGATTATTTGGTGAAGCCTCGTATGTTTTTGAAAATTGTATATAGAGAGGAGCAAGGACGACTTTGAGGAAGGTACGAATCGGGTTGATCATCTCTCTTTACCAAACTTCCCAGTTGAAGAGCGGTGATGAGGGGTATCCACCGCCCACCCCCCGCCACCATTGTCAAAAAGAGATGATCACCGATTTGCTCTGCTCTCTATATACAAATTGTCACACTGCCGTATACTCTAATAAACAATCAACTCTATACTTTCATCTCCTTATCTATCGTAAAAATGA